GGGCTGCGGCGCGCAGTGCGTGGGGCCGGCCCCCTGAGTTCGTCGAACAACTGGGGTGCGGGCCTGTCGTCCTGCACAGCCGCGGCCGGCGAGGCGGCCCCAGACTCGCCGTCGTCTGACGGGATGCGGGTGTACCCGTCGAGACGGGGGTCACCGTCACCACCCTGCGCATGGCCATCGCCGCCGCCCGGGGTCTCCTCTTCGCCACTCCTGCCATCATCCAAACTCGACCCACCCGAACTCGCCCTGCCGGCGTCTGAGCCACCGCCCGAGCCTCGCTCGCCGCCGCCGCCCCGCAGCAGCGCGGTGTCAAAGCTCAGCGTGATGCCTTCCAGCCCGAGCGCAAAAGACGACCGCTGCGTTGGCGCCGACGCCGCGCGCCCCGCCGACTCCGCGGCATCGGCAAGCGCCTGCAGGGCGCCGCCCGGCGCCGCGGCGGCGCCGAGGGGCCCGCACGCGAGCCGCTCGAGCGCGCGAGGCGGCGGCGAGTCGCTGCCGGCCGGGCTGGCGTCGCCGCAGCTGCCGCTGCCGGCCACGCTGCTGCCGCGCGCGCACACAGAGTCATCGTCGTCGTCGCCACCGCCGCCGCCGTCCTCGTCTGCCGAGCTGCTGCGGCACGGCGGGGTGAAGGCCTGGGCGCAGGAGCGCCGCCCTGTCCCTACAAACGGGCGCTGCTGCACCCGCTGCCTGCACTCGTCCCCGCCCTTGGCCTCCTCCTCCTCGCACTCAAAATCGCTGCTGTACGCCTCCCCCTCATCGTCGTCGTCTGGCGCCGGCGGCTCTCGCTTTAGCTGCTGCTGCTGCTGCTGCTGTTGCTGTTGCTGCTCGCCGTCCCCGCCGCGCCGCACTACCAGCTCGCACACGGCGTCCTCGCTTAGCCTGTGCGATGCGGCGCTGGCGACGCTCAGCCGCGGCGCGCGCGCCGCGGGCGCTGCACGCACGCCCTCGTCCCCGGGCCTGTCGTCCTGATCGTCCTGGTTCGGGCGGCCGTCCGCCGCGGCCTCCGCTGCCGCAGCGTCGGCCTTGGCCGGAGGGCGCTGCGACGCCTGCGGCGCTGCGGTGGCCCTGATGCGGCCCGTCATGAAGGTGAAGACCTCGCTGGCAAACACATACACACCTGGGGCGGCGGGGTGGAGAGCGCGCGGGGAGCGAGCGCCGCGCCGGCCGGCGTCGGGTTCGCTGCTCGCCACGCCCCCAGCTTGCCGAAGCCGGACCAGGCGCAGGTCTGATTGGGTAATGGCACAGCGCTAAATCGACGGCTCAAGCAGCCCACCGTCTGGGTCAAAGCACCTGCCAACCAGACCACGAGCGCACCTGGAGATTCGATCCGAAACGTGTGCGCCCCGCCCGGCTGCAGCTGCGGCGACACGCCCACCACACGGGCGCCCTCAAATCCCGCTTCGCCAACGTCACAGCCGCCGCCGATGCCAGACGGGCGCTCCGGGCCCGGAGTCCCTCCACCTTCCTGCTGCTGCTGCTGCTGCTGCCGTTGCTGCGCGGCGTGCGTGGCGTCAATCAGCTGGATGCGCTGCGGCGTGGCGCCGTCGTCGAGTGTGAATGTCAGGAGGCACGGGGCCGCACACTCTGCGTCGCACGGGCGAAAGCGCAGCTCCTGGACAGACACATTCAGGCGCTGGGGCCCGGGACCCAGGCCATCTGGGGCAGGCGACAGGAGGAGTACACCAGAAAGGGACGAGGAGGGCGCAAGAGAGATTCAGGGCGTCGCACAAAGATAGGGCGCCACTGCGCTGGCAGCGCAGCCCGTTGTGATGGGCAGGCCTACTCACCTCACCGGCGGCAGGGATGACCCGCACACCCGGCAGGCTTCTGCCCTCGGCCACGCTTTGTGGTATGTTTATGTTTTGTCAGACCACATACACCGCAAAGCAGGGACAATCCTCCCGCAAGCAGCACTGCCAGTGGCGGCGCTCCCTGGACGCCTGCACGACACCGCACCTTCAATACCTCGAGCCAGGGCCTTCACGTCCTCCTTGATTCTAGCTCGAGCTTCCGCCCCGCCTATGTCGGCCGTGGTTGGGATCTGCGGCCGTTCAGGCGACGCGCAGGTCTTCAGATCGAACGCAAGCTGCGAGTCCGGCTTTGGCGCTGGGCGTGAGCAATGTTTCTGTAAAGATAAACAAGCAGTGCGGCGGGTGCGCGTGCACAGCCCGGGGCCAACTTTGGCGCGCACTTCCACCTGCCTGATCGTAGAGGTCCAGGAAGGCCTCCACTCCTTCCTGGCATATGGCACCCTCCTGATTAGCCACTAGGCAGCGGGCCAGCTTCTGCTGCAGTTCCTCGAGACCAGCCAGATCCGCGGACGTCTGTTCAGACATTCAAAGGAGTTTCCATTGCGAATCCACGCGTTGTGCTGTCGCTTCGTCCAAGTCGACGAACTACGCCGTGATCTCTTCGCGTGGAATGGCCGAACCGCGTTGTTGACGATTGTGACGACCTTGTTGATTGATTGTTGCGCGGGCGTACAGATGCGATACTCCCCTCGCCGTGGTGTATGCATCAATTTGGCAAGGGACGCCCAATCAAGTGGCGTGTGCAGCTGCGCAGCACGCTCATGGCAGCCGGCATTTGACCACCTGTCATTTGACTTTGTCATGGGTCATGTAGGTGCAACCGGCCTCATCAGGGCCACGCATCAGCTCCACCAGGCCCAATTTTCCGCATTGCCCTGCCTTGTACTGTTGACTAAAGAATAGGATGTGTGCGGCCTCCCATGGTTGACGCTTGCTCATTTTTCCTGTCGCCAATGAGGTCGATAGGATCCTTGTTGGTGAGCAGCTGCTGCATCCAACATGAGGCATATCGTTGTTAAAAAAGCCTTTGTTTCCTCGGCGCAGAAATTGGTTCACAACTCTGTGTACGGAGCAATACTTTACACTGTGCGGTTGGCTGCGCCTGCGGCATGCGAGGCGCACGCAGGGGCACCACGCACAAAATCAGTCGCGCGCGCTCGCTTGCGAGGCGTGCGCGTGTGGGAACAACGGCAGCACGGCTCGTCTCGCGACCAAGCCAGGCTTGAACCAGGCCCCCAGACCAATGCGTCAGGGTTGAATCAGAGGACAGGGTGGACCCAGCCAAAGGGGTCAGGATCCTGCTCGGTCTGCAGCCGCGTGAGGGCGGTGTAAATCTCCAGCGCCACAGGGGTCGGCTCGCCAGCCTGGCGCGGCGACAAGAGGGGCGGGAGGAGGGGGGCGAGGA